GGCTAGAAGGGAGATTTAAGGTGGGGACTCAAAGGCATCGAGCAACGTTTCTTCCAGACTTTCTCCTGAATGGGAAGAAGGGGTGAATTGGACTTGGCATAGGGTCAGAAAGCTGGCATGTATTCACTGTCACCCGCATCTTCGAAGTTCTTCTCCAGAGCCTCAGTCTCAAACTTCTTTTTTAGAGAGAGGTTTTTTGTTTGTTTGTTTGTTTGTTTGTTTGTTTTGTTTTGTTTTAGAGAGAGATTATATTCTCTGCCCAGGTGTCTAACCTCAGACCACTTGACCTTCATCACCTCGTTCCTGAATACGAGGGTACAGAAGGACTGCCTGATATTCTCTGCCTGCTTCCCTGCTGTGTGGTCAGTTGCTCACTTCAATTGTCCTCCACACATTCTTGCTGACTTCAGCTTTCCCACCTGATCATCGACCCCTGTGCTTCCACCAGCATTCCTCCAAGACTTGGAGTGAGTACCTGGGTGAGTTGAGGGTCTATACTAGGGTGGTAGTCTGGGAACTAAAAGACCAAAGCCAATCCCAGACTAGTTTAAGAAAAGGTGAGTTTGTGTGTGCTGCCACTGTGTGGCCACATAAATAAAATACAATCTCATCTCAAGGGGATCTAACTCTGAGAGGGGTGATTTTCAGCGATTCAGACTTTTCAGAGGTTGATGAATTATTTGGCACCTTTTAAAGCTCAAAAACTCAGCTTCTGGAATCACAGAATCACAGGTTTGTTTTATTTTGTTTTATTTTGGTAAGTGAGACCTAGGGAAACTTCCAGATGTGGCCAACTCCACCTTCAGGTCTCCTTATGTTCTGTTTATTGTAACCCACAAGGGATGAAGGTGACAGGGTAACACATTTCTTTCTGTTACTTGCCTTTTCAAAAACAGAATTGCCTCTTGGAGCCTGGAATTCTATATAAATACCTTAAAAGACATTACCCATGGTTTGTTGTGAGTTGAGACAATGACCTATCCCAGTGGAGAAGCAAAACATCCCCCTTCTATTTCTATTTCTGCCTGGGTCTCAAGTTGACAGAGTGCCACTGTGGGAGACGGTGGTTGGAGATGGTCATGGGGGTGTGGGGGAGGCAGGTAGTGGTAATGTGTCCCTGAGTCTTTATTAAAAAAAAAAAAAAAGAACAAGAAGACTTTGAGCAGATGTCTTCTCCAGATTCAGGTCTACTACCATGTAAAATCTTGCACCCTAAACCAACCCTCTTACTCATGATTGGCAGCTACAACCACCTAGGTACCACGTGTTAGAATCTCAGAGTCACCTTTGACTCTCTTTCTCTCTCATCACCCCATAGCCATGGCCATGTAATTTCTAAGACCTGGGAACCTGTTCAAGCATCTTTCCTTTCTCTCGACCCCAATCTGATTGCCCCACTCTGGTTCAGGTTCTCTTTGTCTTATGTATGGACTCTTGTAAAAAGGGTCCTCCTAACCTGTCCTGAACCTCCCCCTTCCAGGAGTAATTGGAAATGGAGATCATAAAAGTGGCCCAAGCTAGTGATAAACTCGTAGGGTGTGTCCTGCTAAGGATAGGTCTCCTTCTCTCTCTCTGTTTCTCTGTGTGTATGTCTCTCATGGAAGAAACAAATAGACTTAAATGAGAGAGAGAGATAGAGATGGGGACTGATAAAAGTTGTGAGTTGAAAGAACACTCTTTTATTATTTAATATGGTAGCTAGTTGAGCAGAATTCAATGCACAGGTAGGGATTTAATCAAGAGGAAAGAGGTTAGGCCATGGACAAGTGACTATATCTTTCTGATGTTTTATTTGCTCATCTAGAAGATGAAAAATAAGAAGATGAAGGTATAAAAGTCTATCTGCCCTGATTATTTCATAGGGTATTGTGAAGCTGAAATCAAGTGATAGATGTGAAAATGCTATGGTTATTTATTTCTTTTTAAGATAGAAGTGAATCTGGGTAGGATTTGTAGAGAGAGATTACATACATATCTGCCATTAGATTGAATTTATCAAGTGTTCACTGTGTGCTGAGAACTTCCACCTGTCATCTATTGGGTCATTGGAAAAGTCATGACATATTTCCAATGACCCAATAGTTAATCTACACAATTGTTAAGATAGAGAGTAGTATTCCTGTTTTGTACAAAGGAAAATGAGGCTTGAAGAAGGTTAATCATTTGTCTATGGCCATCCAGGTGTTAATAGCAGAACTGAATCACTTCATCATTGGGTGAAAGCAAGATGGCCAACTACAAATACCCAGTGCAATTCCTCTCCATGGAGAAGGACTGAAAGGTTTGTTTTTGGTGATAAAAATCTACATTTGGAATAGAGGAACTAGGGAAGAACACCTGAATATATTAAAGAAGTGAGGAGAAATCTCTAAGATACCAAGACTCAGGAAGGAAGCTTAGAGGAGACAAAGTACAAGGCTAGGCATGACCCAGAGCTAAAGAGAAGTCTCACAGTAAGAAAGAGAGATAAGTGAAATATTCCCAGCACTCCCCTCATCTTGGGCAATCACAGTTGAGTCATAATGGAGCCACAAAAACACCACAGATCGCTAACCCAGTGTAAGGAGTGGTCCAGAATCACTGAAAATGTAGTAATTCAGAAAAGATATACTGGCTGGATATTCACGTCCACTGCTCTCCTTGGGATCCATGTAACTGCACAGCACCATTTTTAGAACAGAGCCACAGCTAAAGTGCATTCAGCCCTGGTAGTCAGCAGACCTTGTACCTTCACATATCTGGGGCCCCACTGTTGCTCCAATTTGCCCATGCAAAGGGCAGGAGAGCCAGGCCAGCAGCTGAGCCCAGTGATTTAGCAGTGACCCTAGTATCTGTTTCCTCATAGCACCCACCCTACATTCTGGGAACGAGCAGTGTACTATAGTGGGAAAGATGTCCCTGAGACTTGGAATATTGATGCAGGTCCCTACCTAGGAACTAAGGCCTCCACACATGCTCTACACACCAAAGACTGAAGCCTTCAGATAACCCTATTAAGAGATTCAAGAAGCCGACCTTCCCCTGAGACTAAAAATTTCAGATACCATAACCGCACTATGGCAAACCAAGTAACTCTGTCCCCATGGTACCTGTGCAGTCCTGCTCATTCACCCAGCAAGGGTTCTGTATGTCAAGCTTGCTCCATTCAGGGTCTGAAAACATTGACCTGGGTGTCCCTACTTCTACCACCAGTGACATTACCCTCTGGATCAATGGAAGCCCTACATGCTGCATGCACCTTGTAGAGAACTTATATGTCTCCAGCCTGCTGTCTGTGACGTATTTAAGCTAACTAATTAAAAAAAGAGAGAATGAATATATTAGAGACAAATAGAGAGAGAGAGAGAGAGACCACAGAAATACAAAAGATTATTATAAATTATTATGGACAATTATATGCCAACAAGCCAGAAAACCTAGAGGAGCTGAATGAACTTGTTGATATGTACAATTTACCAAGATTGAACCAGGAAGAAATAGAAAGTCTGAACAAACCAATAACAAGAACAAGACTGAATCAGTAATAAAAAGTCTCCCACAAAGAAAAGTCCCGATCTAGATAGCTTCAATGCTGATACTGGTGGCGTGCTTTTTCACTTTTCTTCTCTCTCTCTGTGTGTCTCTCTTGGGTCAAATTAAATAAATGAATGAATAAAAAAATTAACTAAACAATTCTCTTTCTCTGTTGAGTGCATGTACCTTATGACTTAAGTTGAAAAAGAAAGAAAAAGAACTGACTCCAATTCTTCTCAAACAATTTCGCCAAGTTCAAGTGAGAGGAATCCTTCCACATTTATTTTATAAGGCTACTGTTATTCCAACTCCCCAAAATGATAAAGACACAACAATAAAAAAGGAAAGAAAAGGAAAAGTAAGGAAAGGAAAGGAAAGGAAAGGAAAGGAAAGGAAAGGAAAGGAAAGGAAAGGAAAGGAAAGGAAAGGAAAGGAAAGGAAAGAGAAGAGAAGAGAAGAGAAGAGAAGAGAAGAGAAGAGAAGAGAAGAGAAGAGAAGAGAAGAGAAGAGAAGAGAAGAGAAGAGAAGAGAGGAGAAGAGAGAAGAAAAGAAAACAACAGACTATTATCCTTGATGAACATAGATGCAAAAATCCTCAATAAAATGTTAACAAAGTAGGCCCTGAGAAGGTGGTACAGGGGCAGTGCAACGCTCTGCAGTGCTAGAAGCCCTGTGGAATACCAGGATTTGTTTCCCAGGTCAATTTGTACACATTGGGCATGTGTATGCTCATGACCTTTGCTGGCTGAAAAATTGGGAAAGATTTGTGCCATGAGACCCTATTGAGGGTGATTGTCTTTTTCTTTCTTTCTGTCTCCCTTTTATAAATCTTTTTAAGTTGAAAATAAAACGGAAAGAACATTGACAAACCAAATTCAATAGCACATCA